AGAGAGAGAAAGAGAGAGAGAGTTTGTGAGGGTGTTGCAAGTACATTAGTATGAACAAATTTCTTTCGGGTGTGCGACATGTGATATTATGTATCGATGTATAAATACACCGTTCAATCACAGATTTAATCTGTCAGTCACTCAATTGTTCAAACGATTAGTTTATTGATTGAACAATCTGTAATATGACCCTTGCTCTTCTCTCTCTTCAGAGGACATCAAAAGGTTCATGCGTCGCTTCGCCAAGCGAGAGCAGAGATGTAAAAAACGGTGTCGGCGGAAACTGATCGAGAGATCGGTGAAAAAAATCAAAGCAAAGACAATCGATCTTTCTAGATCATGCGGCGTGTAGCTCGCCACTTGGACTCATGTTGGGGTTTTGTTGGCTAATATTATGTTTGTTGGTTTTTATTTTGTGTGTTGTATTGGGTTTTTTAAAATATTGTTTTAGTTGTTTTGGTTTGTTGTTGTTGTTTTTTCTTCATTCAGCGAAACTCGTGTGTGATACTGGCTCTGGTGGTGTTGTTGTTATATTTTATAATAAAATCTCAACGCAGATAAGACGTTTTTGCTTCTGACAAGGGCCCAGGTGAAAAGGGTGTTGTGCTGACGCTTTTCTTGTGGTGTTCACACGACGTGTGACTTTGTCGGCCGCAGTCTTTCAAAATTTTAATAACGATGTTATTTGTACTTTGAAAGACTGTCCCAGTAGTCACTTCAAGAGACTCTGCTAAGACTTTTGACTTCTTTGTAATGATGTTCGTGGTTGTGGACTTTCTTGGACATCTGACGTGACTACGCTCGAATACAGTTATTCCAGACATGAAAAGGACGTCACGAACATTATTGCCTAAAGTGACGTGCAAGCTTGTGTCGTTTTCTTGAAATCACGATTGTGAAGATACAAGTAAGAAATATTTTGCTGTGAGAGTAACGTCTGTGAAGGCGTATAATGAAATGTGAAACTTCCGGAGCGAAGTAAACTTTGTTTGTGTAAAAACACAAAAAAAATATTGTGAATGTTTGATTGATCGAACTGTGTTTATCTTGAAGCTGTGGTTGCTAAGACAAAAACTAACGGTTACTGTACAGATCTTTCTTCTACTTTTCTCGGAAATGTGGTTGCAACATGACCTTCAACGCGAATACCGACAATCTATGGTGATTTTTGCGACGCTGTGAATGTGTCAGTAGATATCACGTGACCTTGTAAGATACTGATTACAGACGTGGTCTCCATGCCAGACGCTGATACTGACAACGTCCAGGTGACCAGATCGGCTCCAGAGTGTGAGATGTATAAACCTGCACAAACCTGAAATTGTGTAATTTAGTGTAAAGATTTGGAAACTTCTGCCGTTGTATTTTCTCTTTGGGACGTCAACACATCAAGGTCATAACACAATTACCAAAGTCATGTTTGTTTCAAGTTTCTAGTTATTTTATTGAAATGGTCTTTAAAAAAAAAGGAACTTACTTCATTGTTTCGTATCCCAAATAAAGCAGGATTTTGTTTCGTGAACTAAAAATCAATTATTGAGACATTTTTCCTATCCCCTCAAGTCTTTAGATTGACCTGTCTCAGCATTGCCTTTCGACAGTTTTTCAAAACAGCAAAACTTGACTTACGTAATTGGGTTATGACCATGGCATAAGCTCATCCCACTGTGTGTTGTGTTGCTGAAGAACCCAACATAATATGACTAATCGTTTGTCTTCCCAGAGTAAAATAACAGTGTTGCCTTACTGCTACATATTGGTAGTGAGGCTTTTACTCAACCAAGCGCTAATGTGGATCTAAAGACAACCCTATAACAGGTGTCTTTGGTGTAGCGGATAGGCGCTTTGTCGTCGCACGCAGAAGACCTGAGTTCGATTCCTGTGTAGGAAACATTTTTATAGAGTATTTCGCTCTTTCTGACAGTATGTTGTATCTCTCTGTGCCTAGGTTAGCCATGGCAGGCATGGTCGAAGCCTGCTTGCTAAAAGATCTGAATTGTATCTAGGTTAAGCAATTACATTTACACCCCCCCCCAACCAATTCCCCCCAACCTCTACCCCCGACCCCTTCGGCACATTGGCAGATCGCGACAAGATCAAAGTATTTCAGTAGTCATTCTTGCACGCTGACCAACAAAGAGGAATTACTGTAGTATTCTCCTAGCAGGTTACGATTTCGAAATCCAGTAAGTTTTGTTTGGCCGCAGTGTGTTATTTGTAGATGTTTATTTCACTCAAAGAAGATGGGGTATTTAGTATTACTACAGACACACAACGAACCCAGACTAACACGTTCTTTTTTTTTTTTTAATTCTATTTTTAAAATTAGTTTTAAAAACTTTTGGACACGTTTCCATCTACGTTGCTCTCACTTTTGAGATGTTATTTAATTTGAGTTACCACACACATATTTCCCTCAATTCCAATGGAAAGAATTAACATGTTTTCATCTCAAGAGAAGAGAAATATGAATTCTAGTGTTGACACAGGGTGTAGAGGGACTACAAAGGGAGGTCCCAAACACTGTAAGGCCATACACCCTGACACTAAAGATTTCAAGTCAAAAACTTGTTATTCTATCTGGGGTCACGATTCAAAAATGGCGTCACAGAGGCTGTGTTTACTGACTTTTGAAGAGGATTTTTTCTTTGGTTGGAGATAAGGAATTTGATACTACTATTTTTCTAATTTTCTTTTATGTCTTTCTTTCTTTCTTTTTTCTTCTTTTTTTGGGGGGGCGGGGGGGGGGGGGTGAGGGGGAGGTCGGAGGAAGAGGCTGGTTTGATGACGTCAATCCCCTGAACCCTCTCCTGGCACAAAAGTTAAGACTTCTGCCTTTGGGATCCGGAGCTGGGTGTTTTAGTATCTTCAAAGTGTGAGGTCGCAGGACATGCTGTAACACAACGGTTTTTGAACTGGTTTGATTCTGTCGGTTCTACTTCTTGTTTTCCTTTTTCTTTTTGTTGATTCTATTCTTTATATTTATTGCATTCATTTATTTGTTTATTTATTCTATTTATTCTGTTTATTTATTTATTTATTATTTATTTATTATAGTTATTTATTAATTAATTTAATATTTATTCATTCATTTATTGTTTTATTTACTTATTTATTCATTTATATTGTTCGTTGTGCGGGACGTTTGGATGACCGACTGATACGGAAGAGAGCTGGGCATTATCAAGACTAAGCAGGAATAGAAAAAGCACCATAGTGGTTGTTGCGTATAAGCAGCACCCCAATAGCACGGTAGGAACTCCAGTGTTGGTAAATACAGCAGACTATTTATATTTCTAAATTTGGGGTGACAAAACCAGACACGTGAATGATAAATTTCAAAGTTCTCTTACTAAGGGCAATAACCGGGGAAAATATTGTTGTATTTTATTAATGAACAAGTTATCTGCCTTCGCTCAGAGTCGTTTCCCTTGATGAACATTAGTCATGCAAGCAAATTATAAGACAGAATAGTTGCAAAAATTATAGCGTGTTGAGATTTATTTTGCTGAAATTATAACGTCATATGCACAAGTCTGGCCTTCTCAAAGTCGTTGCAAGACTACAAATGGATCTTTAACCTGAGTAACTTGCACACGGGTCCTCGGAAATTTGTTCGCGCTTATCCGGGAAGGCGAGGTGTTCAACCTTACCTACTCTAAGATCAGGAGTGTGGGTGAAAGACAGCAGTATGAAGGGGCTAGGAGTAGTAGAAAAAATTAGTAGAAAGAGTCAGGAGCTAAGAGGTGGGGAAAAGAGGAGGGGGCCGAAAGTAGAGATGAAAGCAGATGACAGAACATGATTAGAGAGCAGAAAAGGAGGTGAAAGGAAAACACTTTAGAGAAGAAAATTTTCCGTCACTGTCAGGTTTCAAACTCGAAACCTATTGAATGAGAGGGGAACATGTACCTCTAGACCACGAGAGCCCCAAGCAATCTTTGATCTCACAGGCTTTGTGTCTAAATAATGAAGTTGTAAACTCCTTTCTTTTTGGACTGTTGAAAGATGGAAAAAGACCGATGCATATCAGAGGTTACGATTGCAAACAGAAAAAGAAAATAGGAAAGTTTAGTTACCCCCCCCCCCCCCCCCCTTAGGGGGTGAATGGATATGTGACGCAAATTCAAAGGTGCGAAAGCATTGATACACTGATAAGTTTATTTCGCATTTGAGGGACATACAATACATGTTCTGCTTAAATATGTGTATAGAATATCAGGTGATGTTATTATACTCTTCACGAACAGAAGTTTGCTTTGTTTGCCTATACATAGATGTTATTCTTTCTGAGGTACTGGGCTTACGGAACAGTCTTTACCAGTCTTCGATTAGGAAAAAATTAAATAACGAATGTCACGACATACTCATGGCTAGGTTGAATAGGGATTTTAGGGGAGGAGGAGGGGTGTTAAATTATTTTCGTTTTTGTTGTTGCTGTTTGTTTGTTTGTTTGTTTGTTTGCTTTTGGGCGTTCGTCATAAAATGTGGCTGAAGACCGTTTAACTATGACATTTCCTTAAGTTGATGATGTCAAAAACTTCTTGATATTTTAGAAACTTTAAACACTGCAAGTAAGGCATGGGCGTACCTTTTTTAAAGGCTCGTTTTGATTAAAACTACTGTTAAACACGCTTTTTGTATAATGAACATAAATGCTTTGTATATAGTGTATTATTTTGATGCAAAATGTTGTTGCTTTAATGCGTTTCGTTGTTAAAAGATATGCTATTGACCCCTGGCCCCTTAACCCTGACCCACAACCCCTGACCCAAAACCTACAGTGACACTCGTAAGTTGTTATTTAGCTGTATTTATAGCTTTAATTGATTAAGTATATCTATAAAATTTCTAGTAGCTAATGTTCCGCAATAATGTTGTATAAAATATGACGTAGTGTCGACCATTTCTACGGATTTTTATGTCTGAAAAATATGTTGGAATAAAGTCTCTGCCCATTAAATGGTTTGTTGTTAATAATAAAACAACGCCTTGTGTTACTTTCTTTTTGTTTCAAATTCTCTTACGATCTTGGCTATACGATTATCGGTAAAAGGCTATAATATTATTGGTAAAAGTGAAGTCAAGCCCCCTTTTCAAACTGCTTTATTTCATACGCAAGATCCGGGGTCATCCTGGGGTCATGGCAAGGTTGTAGTTTTGTCTTCTTAAGGCAGGGAACAAGGCACATCAGATTGTCATCGTCATGATACAAAAAGACGTGGTGGTTTATACCTTACTCACACCAGTCTTCCTTATCAGAGTTATTGAGTTGAAAGAAAGAACGAATCTGTTTATGAGCCACATGTATAACACAAAAGCTGGGAATTCTATGAGGGGACATAACTAATGCTGTGTACTAGATTACTCCTTGTATTTTAGGGGGTTATGTCCCTTGTAAGGAAAACGGACACATGGTCAGTCTGCAGGCGCGGTTCGTCCATAGAGCACGGTCGTGTGGTGCCGCCCCAATTTTTTAAATGTTCTATTACGTAAAACACCTACAATAATACAATAAAAGAAGTCAGAAACAAACACTAGCCAAATATTATATCAAAACAAGGTCCTCACTGGCGCCATAACCGTTATCTCTGTGTCTATAACGCCGTAAAACATCTACAATCCCATGCCAAAGTCCACGCGCTTTAGCTAAACATAACAGGATATTCAACAGTGTAACCTGACCCATAAATCGCTCTTGGGGATAACCCAATCGAGGACGACACTCGTAGCGAGTTTGGCGGTACATTAATACATGTATTAATAAGACGGCACATCTCAAATGTGCTCCTGCCGAACAGTGCCGAAACATAGCCCACAGTAGGCAGTCTAAAAATAAACGCGATAGACCGTACCTTATTCTTTGCTAATGTCATGTGAGCCCGGAGCAATCCAGCGGAGTGCTCAAGTGAATTGTGATTGGTTCATTGTCTGTCTTGCCACTATTTTAAGTGACTCTGTGATCGTGAACCTGAGGGAGGTGAACGTGACCGTCCTATGAGTTGTGCCTTTGAATGATTTTGTAGTGGAGTAGTGAAAGTTATTGCTTGGGTGTTCAGTTCCAATACAGGATGAACGAAATTGATGTTAGGTAACAAACAAATCTAGTACTAGAAATCAAAGCGACAAGTAAAAAGAATGAAATATCTTTATATACAGGGTGTCTAAATATAAAAAAGAGGACCCACTTTAAGGGAAATAATTTGGCTCTCTTTACAATAATTTCAGCAAACCTCCGAACGAATGAAATTCAGTCAGGTGGACACCAGGCTGACATGAGGTAAATGAATCAACAAGTCGAGAAATATCAAGCTTTAAAAACTAAGACTAAAATTGACTAAAACGCAAAACTTTACTTCGTAAAAGCGTTCAGCGATTAGGCGTGATCCACCCTTTCTGGTTTCAGGACGAGTACAGTAAAACCTCGACCGTCTCATCATCAGATGAATGTCGTGCTGAAAAAGTTTTGAAAAAGTTTGTATTGGGGAGGGCAGGTTGGTATGCTTTCGAGCAGGCCTGTTCCAATGGG